ATATGAGATCCAACCGTTGGTCTACATAGCCCATTTGCCACTCACTTCGTCACGAAGCAGTTGACTGCTTTAACTGCAAACTACCGTTTGGGCCCGGTTTCGTCGAGCTAAATGACGCGGGAAGGGATTATAACCTGACGAGCTCGTAATTTAATCTCGCGATCTGCCTGATGACGAATGACAACGCGAAATCCAAGATCGGTTCTATGATAGTCTCTTTCGCGACAATTGGCCCAAATTCATCCCGAATTCAACGATTCCAACGCGTTATCTCGACGTGCCTCCCGAGCGTAGAACCGAAGCTAGTTTCTGCCAAGTTTCAACATTGGCGACCTCGAGGATGCGCGATACAAAGAACCGCAATCGCGTTCGTTTCGCAGTTCCTCGAATTAATAGCTCTCCGTGGGACCAATTCCGCGGACCAAGGAGAAAGAGTTCTTGGGAAGAAAGGCTCGCGAAATCGCGCGAGACCGATACAGAAAGACGGCGTGCAGAGGGAAACGGAAGCGACCAGGGGTGGTTTCTTTTAATTAACCTTTGCAGACTACGGCCACATACACGTATTTGGCGAAAATAAGACAGAGCCAAAAGACCCATGTACGTATCCACGTAAACGCATCGCTGTGGCCGCGTATGTCTAGAATTTGACATCTTGTAGCGCTGTCAACGAGAGTAGCGGCTAAGCAGAAACGCGTACTGGCAATTTGAAATGCCTATCGTGACAGCAACTAGACTCCATGGTACTATTAACTTCGAACCGTTCCGCCCGCAAAGGATTAAGCCGGGAAACGAACCACCCCTCCGACTATGCTTCCTCCCTTGCGCTTTCTCGTCCTCCGTCCATCGGATTACCTCTTTTAGGCCCGTTTTCTACGCCTCATGAAAGGAAACGCGAGAGGGTCGTGTATGTGCCTACACGCGCGTGTACGAGCGGATAAATCGCGGCAGAGTGTTTCTGGGAGACTGGGAAGGGATCTAACCCCATTTGACAGCCAAGCCGATGTCAGCGTTTCGCTGAGGACGCGACGGGAGTATTTTTACTATTCAAAGCATATAAGCCAATGGATATATGACCAATGACCACCGTGACGTGACAGGAGTCACCGCGGACGGTCATATACGACCAACGTGGCAGTCAAAGCGCGAAACGGGCTAAGAATCGCCGCGGAGGACGAGCGGCAGCGTAGAAAGTTGGGACCACTCGCGGTCCCGTGCCAGAAACGAGAGAGCAAAGTGCAAAGAGCACACGACCGGCGCAGGGAAAGGGAAGAGGTCGATGGAACGCGAAGGGAGAAGTCGGTCTGTCATTGACTCCCCGCGTTTCATCGCTCTGAAAGCCTTCCTTGTCCTCTGGCTATAGTGCCTTTCAGAATAGGCTGACACTGTCCAGAAGCCGTTTCGTGAGACGAAAAAGTCGGCGGCGCGTACAAAGGCGCGTCTTAACGAGGCTTCGGAGGAAGACGAGGAAAACGCGAAGGGAGGGAAAGTAGAATTTCCTCTGAAATTCTTAGACTTTGAGTTAGGTCGGCCGCTGAGTCGAGGACCGCTCGGGAGACTCCATTTGGGTGGACAGCGTCGGTCTGACTTGGGAAATTGCCCGAGCACGGTGTAAGAAGCCATCGTTGATTAGTTACTCGTGCATCGTGTACGATCTCGTTGCAAAGGTCGGAAGAGGACCCCGGGAATTTGGCCGTTAACGATAACGGGGAACAATCGGGGAGTTTGGCGACGTCCGGCTGCCGCAGAGAGGCTACTCTGGCGAGCCTGGCTTTGGTGGCACTGGTCTCCGCATTGGGTTTCGAGCATACCCACACGTGCTATAACGTACGCCGTATGCCGATAGTCGGCCGAGATAAAGTACTAGGAAACGAGCGTGCATAGGCAGGGAACCGACGCGCAACGACTCGGCGTCGTGCATCGCGATCGCCATAACGTGTATCGGGGCTTTCAAAGCTCTCCTGGACCCTACACGGTATCGCACCGGGCTCCTTCCATATGCAGGGGTGACGGTCCTGGCAAACTTTCCGTTCGAGAAAAGTCGCGAGATTCGACGAAATCAACGGGGACACGTTTCGACCTCCGTTCACCGATTTCACGATACTCGTAGTCCCCGGGACTCCTAAAAAGCGTCAATTACGCGCGATAAATCCTCGTATCGTAAAATATTCCTTTTCCCTGGCGAGTAACGGGTCCACGACCCGCAATAGGCCCTTTCACGGCTCGCGGCTCCGCGTGGTAACGAAATTATGGCTGTTACAGGGTTAGGCATTGGCAAACTACGGGGTTAGATATCGCTGAATGCACCTAGCGACTCGATAACGCGGATATCCGTCTATGTTGCAAATCGAAGGTCCGACGCGCGCCTCGCACCTACGTTAAGCGGATTACGCCGATGAATATGTAGGAGCGTGTGGCACACGCACGCACGGGCGCGCGCGCGATGCGTGTGACGCAGGGACCGGTGGGCGTACGCGTATCGCACGCACGTGGCGCGCTCATACACGCGTGTGCGTGCACGTAGGCGGAGAATGGACTGGCGAGGAGTTAGCGCGAATAGACACCGGCGGATATGCGAAACTGTGCCGCGTCGAACGCGAGGTCTCCGCGTGGAAACTGGTTGTCGGAGGAAGACAGGGCGACTGCGAGATTCGTGGCCGATAATTAACCCGTTAGTCGACGGATAAGCGAATTATCCGCGTCGGAGAGCGCGGACGCGTATCGATATTCCGCTCGACGTTGTGCACGCGCAACGCCTCGAGTTGACTGGCGCGCGCGCGAGCGATCCGCTCGGTTCCTCGTCCGGAACGCAGCGTCGGGCTGAACACTTTCCCCTTTCTCCCGCGGGGAAAGAATAATCGCGGTAATGGAAGCCGGATCGCGTTACCGATATCCGCTCGTGCACGCTCGTCACGCTCGCTAGATATCGCGCGGAGCTGAACCGATCGTGCGGATCGGCGAGGATGGTGAGGATCTGCGTGGGTGGAGCAGGGGGCAATGGGAGCACACGGTGGACTCGTTAGCGCGAACACACCGTAGGGGCTAAAGCGTGTCGCGTGTACGTCTAAATATAAAGTCTCGGTGGAGAGAGCCGGTGGAGAAGAGGCGCGAGAAGAGCCGCGGATCCCTGGCGAGAGAGCGGTGTAACCACCTAGTCAAAACACGCCTGTTGTGCGCCGCGAGAGAGCGAGAGAGGCGAGGCCTCAACAGCGACTGCAGTCGCAGTTGCAGTCCGCTGGAGCTGGAGCCGATTCCGGTGCATCCTCAGCGAGCTCGCGAGTCTTCCCGTGGCACGAGTCTCTCGCCGCGCGGTTCTTCCGTCGAATCAGTGCCTCGAGATCGGCAGTGCGTGGTCGCGAGAGATCGCGAGGGTAAACGGAGTTCAAATTGAAAGTTGGAGCAGCGAAACGTGTCACCTTTCGAGCGGTATAATTAGTCGCGGTGCCGAGGCGCTGCTGGAAAGCAGGCTGAGACGCTTTTACGACGACCTTGGCTACGGTGGAATCGTAAAACGCCGCGTTGGAACGCGCTCGTTGGATCGTGCTATTTTCGAGCGGACACCGAGGACGCGATCCCGGGACGTTTCGCGAAAAATTTCGCGAATCGAGCGGTTTCGACGAGAAAATCAGTGGACGAAGAAGACGAAGAAGGTCTCGCGAGATCGCTGTCTGCCAGGGACAAAGGTTGGATCCAGCGCGTAAAGGGCTATTATCGTTCCTCGCGGGTAATTAGAAGCTGAGCGCGATAAAAATCGGCCGACGTCTAGCGATGCGGCCGCGTCTGGATTCCTCGGCTCGTAACGGTGTTGCGCGTAAACAGGTAGCTCCTCCGGCATTCTCCACTGGTTCCAGATTCGCGGGAAACGCCACGGAGCTGTTACGTCTTACCGCTCGCCGATGATCGCGCGTCCTATTTTCGTTCCTTCCTTTCTCCGTCTCGAGAACCGAGATTTCTCCTCGCCTCCGCTTACATTTTAAGGGTGGATTTTACGAGCCTGGACCAGCGCCGCGGTTTACGAGAGAACGCGGGAGGATCGTCCTCGGAGCCGATCGTAGGAGTACGAGGAACCCCGTAAATACCGCGGGCCCCGTATCGTGGCCATCTCTGGGAGCCACCGGTAATTAATTATTCTCGTCGAGTCGCGGGGCATTTAAACGAACGAGGCCGTAGCAGGCCCCGTGAGAGGAAAGCGTAATCGCTCGAAAATTGTGCCGTCCCAGAAACCGAGGGCGGACTACTCGGCCTGGCAGTCTTCTCGGGAATCGAAGCGGGTACGCCACGGAAAATCGGCTCCCTCGACGACCCCCGTGTCTAACGATTATCGCGAATTACGCGCAAAAGCGGTTGATTCCGCGGCGGCTAAAACGGTCGATCCGAGCGACTATTTTCAGCGGGAAACGTGACGCTTCGTTCATAATCCTCGACCGTGTAGCTCGCCAGCCGACACCTAATTAAATCCGAATTTCCTCCCGCGCTCCTTCGCCGACAACTTGCTCGTTGTTCCTCGCGAGCTGCCAGCCACGCGACCCCTTTGCAAATTTTCCTATCCCGCCGATATTACACGCTGCGCGAATAAACGATCGAAAAGGACGCGAGGATTTCGAGGATCTCGTCTCGTCATCGGCGGATCGGTGGCCGTTAAAGGGTTTCGCTCCGCGCGCGGAGGGTAGGCCGGAGGCCTAAGTGGAAACGCGTGTTTCCGCCGCTGCTCGGCTGCCCTTTTCACCCTGTAATCCCAACGGGCCGTTTCCACGACAGCGACCGAGTCGGTAAATCAACCTTCCGTGTTCCTTCGACCTCGATCCGCGGCGCGCAGGTCCGTCAGCGATCGCGGAGTCGGGGGGATCGAATCGGGGTTCCCCTTTTGAGTCAGCGAGGTGGTCACCGATCGGTGGTCGACCGGTCGTCGTTCGATCCAATTTCGGCGGCAAATTTACTCTGGCTTAACTGAATCGTGCCGTTCTCGTTGTCCCACCGGTTTCGCGAGTCGGGGTCTAATCAGCCGTGGGCGTTGCGCGGATAGCGGATAGCGGATAAAAATATCGCGATCGCTGGCACGGTGACTTCGATCCTTGCCGGTAGTGGCAGTGCCGTGGTACTCGCGTTAAACGCGCTTCGGAGAAGCAGAGATCGCGATGATCCGTTCGCGTGGGATTGGAAAATATTAAACCGACCGTGTCGAATGTTGACCCTAATCGCGACCGAAGCAGATCCGACCCGGCAATTTGCGGCCTGTGCTCGGTTAGCCATGCGAGCATTCTGACTGTCGGAGCACCCCGTGGTACGATCGAGGATCGGTCGAGATGGAGCGTGCCATTTCCACGAGCGACAGTCGCTCCAAGAGGCTGTCAACGATCACGGAATACTCGGAGCCCGGGATCGACGGCGACGATAACGATCGGCGGCCAGAGTGCCGCGAGGTGGAGAACGAGGGCGAGGAAGAGGAGGAAGAAGAAGAAGAGGCGGAGGAGGAAGAGGCGATTCCCAGGGGCGATGCCGAACAGCGGAGCCTCGAGGAGGAGCAGGGAACGGCTGTGAAGTACTTCCTCCTGGACGACTCGCCGATGGCGAAGTTCAGCCGAAGCATCAAGTGGATCTACAAGAAAGTGAGTCTCGAAAGTACCTCGGTTAGAGAGCTTTGTACTTTTCTCTCGTCTCGAGTAAGTCTCGAGTAACCGACGTCCGCGCGCGTCGTGGCTCGCAGAAACGTCTTTCGACCTCGCCACGAGTCGTCGTCGACCAGCTCGGATCGTGCAATTACCCGTTGTTCCGCGGACGTGCCCCGACGTTTTGACGTGTCTATCGGCCGGAAGGTCCGATCGCGCTCTAGTCGTCCTCGCTTGTTCGTCCTCGCCCCGGTGAAAGAGGCTATTAGCCGCACGCAGCGGACGCCTACGCGTTCTTTTGCTCCGTTTTACTTTCCAACTCCTCCAGCCGTGTCTGCTCGCTGCCAACCGAACGGGGCCCGTGCACGCCGGTTCCTGGCTCGGCTCACGAAAGTCGTGACGAAGCCTCTCGCCTCTCCTCCGCGCCGATGCCTCGTCCGAGCGTGCTCGAAAGCCTCCCTGCCGCTGCAAAGGTCTAGCGTGCAGGAATTTTAGGGGAATCGGTTCAGAGTTGCGTCTGCCGAGCTTGATGGCCGCGAGGAATCTCGGGATTCGTCGCGAGTCTCGCCGAGGGAATTACGCTTCGCGAAGAATCCCTGCATTTCCTCGCCGCTCTACTACCCCCTCGCTCGGTGAAAGCCTCCGGGCTCTTTCTTCTTTCCCTCGCGAGCTTTTTCCACCGGGAGCAACGCAGACGCCTTATTTACGCTTGTACCTCGTCTCGTTTACGTTCCCGGCAAGTTTGCTCGCGTCTCGGCATTGTTTATTTACCATCCGGTTTACGCGGATGTAGGTATCGCTGGACCGCGTGCGTCTGTAATGGCACGCCGCGCGTTAATGAACCGGATGACAACATTCTCCTCTTCCGCCGCGCGTTCCCGACCTCGGATCAAGCGCTCGTGGAACGCGTGTGCCTCCAACTGGGATAGAATCGCATAGATAGACCCCCCTTTCTTCGCTCCTTTGCATCCCTTTCCCTCTGACGACTCGTCTGGTCCTCGAATCCGCTGCCAACGTCTCCTCCAACGTCTCCTCGAATGTACCCCAATGTCTCCAATGTCTCCAATGTCTGCTCGTGGAGGTTGGTCGGGGAATGCGGAGATCACGCGAGCATGCTAGCCTAGCTACCTGTCCTCCGACTAGAGCTGCCACGATAGAGGGTAGAGGCATGAGAGGAGGCGCGGTAGTCGAACCGGGGGCACAAAAGGAAGATGAACGGTCGTAGAAGAGGGGAAAGAGGGTGGCGCGGGTCGAGAGGCTCGGCGGACCTAGAAACTCTTCTGGGCTCCGGCACTGGAGAGTCGCAAGACCCTCGAGAGGGTCTTAGGGGGCGAAATGACCTATTTCGCATTGTGGCTAGCTTTTCGGTGCGCCACACGACCGCCGATGGAACCCAGAGACCAGGCTGCCTTCTCTTTTGACGGAGAGCAGCGGACTCGCGAGAGCGACTATTAGTCACAGTCAGCTGGCCGAGTATTCTTTGAAACGCGGGTTAACGAACTTTCGCGGCATTCCGCGCGCGTTTTCCGTACGTACGTCCGTGGAATTTCGCCTGCCAGCTTTGCAGCGAGCTTCGAAAATTTCGAGTATCCCGCGAGTCAGCCACGCGTTTCATTCGCACCGCGACCAGTCGAACCACGCCACTCTGTCTTTGCTTCCGCGATCGCGAACTTTCCCGAGAATTGGGCGAAATAGAGTGCACGATGGTCTCGTTTAGCCCGAGTGCCGTCGCGCCAGCCGTGTACTGCGCGTTCGAGGAAAGAAGGCACGGAGGGTACGTTTACGTCCTCGAGATTCACGAATACCGCTAATACTTGCAAATCAACCCTTTGCGCTCGACGATTTTTTGGCCAAGGAAGGGTACGAGTTGACAAATTTTCAACGGTAGAATTATTTAATCCTTTGCACTCGAGAGACGGCTCTCAGTCACCATTTAATGAAATTCTAAACGTCATTATTAATTAATATCTCGAATTTAAAATTGCACAACAATGCGTGGAATATCGAGGTAAAATCATTCCACGTCTTACAATTAATTTGCACTTCTTATTTACCGTTTTGAAAATATCGTCGACTCTATGGCAGAAAGTTTTCGAATTACTATGTTCCGTAACGAAAAGATCGCCGAGTGCAAAGGGTTAATTTCGATACCTCGCACACAGTTACATTATTTTAAATTTGATATATTAATTAATATCGAGCTTCGAAATTTTATCCAATGGCGACTGAGGGGCGCCACTCGAGTGCAAACGGTTGATATGATATATAATTGCTTTTAAATTAAACTAATCGTTAAAAAAAAGGCACGTGGTTTCCTTTACCTGTCAATTTGACAGGTGTCGTTAAAAATAGGTATACAGATAGCGTCCGTAAACTTAGCGCTAATCGTTTGACCCAGTCATAAATATCTCATCCGTTCGCACGCACTCCAGGCATCGTTCTAAACGCCCAAGTCGAGGCCGATGTTGCTGTTTATTATCCCCAGATAGAGTCCTTTGCTGCTCGCGACCCCACGTTCATTTGGAAAATCATGAATGCGGAGCAAACGCGAGCAGGGGTCCGCGAGTCTTCTCCGTAACCGAATTACCGGGAAATTAGCGCGCAAACAGGCAAACGAATCGCGTCACCGGGGGCGGATTCGTTAATTGACCGTGGAATTAGCACGACGATGGTCGGGAAAATAAATAATTCATTTCCGAGGCCGGCCTCTGACGTTGCCTCGATATCGGCTGACAATGCGCGCCAACCCTCGAATTTCGATTTGTCGTTCCGATTGTCGTTATTGTTAGGCCAGACCGCGCCCCGCGCGTTTAACGACACGCTGATTATCGGCCAGCACCCCCGCAATTAACGCGACACTTGCCCCGATGAAATCGATTCGCTTTGACACGTCGCGTCGCTTCGACGGCCGAGAGACGCCGATAGCCGCGACCCGCGGACCCCTAGGAACCAAATGGATCCACGAACCGTGCACCCAAAGTCTCCCATCGCGATCCGACCGTGTCACATATCCGAATCCCGATCCATTGCCTCGATTAAATTCACCTGTCCCGATTAAATGGAAGCTTCCGCGAGTTTAGCGGGCCGGAAGGGAGGGGAGGGTAGCTGCACGCGTGATGCGTGCGCAGTTTGGGGCCCCAGGCGGCGGCCATGACAGATTTTTCGCGACGAATACGATACATCCAGGTAACCCTGATCGTCTGGACGAAATTATTCTCAGCTTATATTGGTTTTACGTTGGAATCGCGAAGCACTGCACCCGGGTTGGCAGACCAGAGAGGTGAATGGAAATTGCTGTCGCACTTTCGGCAACGACGTCGACGTTGCGGTCGATTTTGCGATTACGCGCGTTTCCGCCGGCAAATTACTTCGGTTTCACCCCACGACAGCCCAGAGCCGGCGTGCAAACGCGTGCAAACGCGGCTCGGGCCCAGTCTACCGCCGTAACAACGCGAAACTTTGGGGAAAGCAAGAGGATTCGGAAAGGGTCGGTTTCCATCGACGGTGGAATATCGAGGGAACGCGAAGAGGAGACCCCCGCTGACGCGTGGAACGCGTCGCGGCCGGGATAAGAATCTCGGGTAGCTCGTGCCGGCTATTCGTTCCACCTGGCACACGGCGAATGGTCGAGATATTTCAGGCATGCACGCTCCCCGGTCGACGAATTAGAGCCACCAAAAATCGAGATTTCAATTAGCTGACTCGGTCGCGGAGCGGGGACAGACAGCATAATTTGCTGATTAAAATTTATCATGCCTCGTGTAACCGGGTCGTGGTGCTTCTATCGATTCCGCGATAAACGCTCGGCTAGACTTCTCCTCGAAGAGACAGCAGTTTCCTGCCGTTTAATGTGAAAACGCGAAACCAGGAAAAAGGATTGTATTGTTACGGATCGCGTTTACAATTCTTGTTCTACAAGAAAAACATTCCAATGGAAACGTCACTGAAAAGATTACCCCTATCGAAAGGTTGGCAGCTCTGTCTGAACTTGGGTGGAAGACGTTCCTTTTATAGTTAACAGTCGATTGTTATTTTGTCCGAACATTCTAAAAGGTGCTGGATTGTTGTACCCTGAAGTTAAGATCCGCTCTTACTAGGCCAAATACCGGGTAGATATGAAAATCTCGTATCAGTATTAATAAACCTTCCGCTTGCAACAATCGATGAACCTGTATTGGCATGCTGCATGTTGCCAACACGAGCGAATACGTTTATAACGTTTGTTCGAGGTATTCCCAACTGCTTTACGCAAATAAGACGAAATATAAACCTATGTGCGTGTAGCTATTGCAAAATTTCGACGCGGGACTGAAAATGTGCATCATTACGGTGCATCGGAAAGGTAGGACACTTTTGATCCCAGCGTGCTTCAAAGAGTTAACTTTGGTTAACTGGTACCTGAATCGAGGAACTTTATTATCGTTCTCCAAACGCTATTTCAATGTTCCTAGTCCAGCATCGCGAATTTTCCACCTTGTACACGTAGGTCCACGAAGGAGCAAAGCTCAGATCAGTTGGGAAAGACCCTGGGTGATGCGTTGGGCCCTGAACATGACCAAATGTGGAGGCATGGGAAAACGTGTGCATGGTGGGAAAGATATACAAAGAAGGTTAAGACTGATCGGAGGACAGTTCTCGTAAAAAGTTTGAAGTGTTAGTTCTTGCAAATTGAGTTGTTATTGAGTTGTGAAATTGAGAATCGATATAGATTCGTGTAAAGAGATAATTTGTATGTCTAATCGTTACCCGCGCACAGTTATAATTTATAAAAATTTATTAAATTACCACCACCGTCAATACCTACGGTATGTATAGCGCGTTCGAGAAAAGAAGGCACAGCGTGTTGACATCCTTACGTCTGATTAACTCCACTGATATTTTTGTGATCGCAAGCAGTGACTGCTGTTGGTCGAAGATGGTGACAAATGTCATGGATCATCCTTTGTGATCAAGGGAGTATTGTAATTTCTAGGATTCGCGTCCTTATGAGTTACTATACG